TCCTCCATTGATGTGTCGTCGTGCACTCGGCCCAGGTAGAATGAGGGACTGAACTTGGGGCCGAACACGATGATCTTCTCTGTGGTGGGATCATGGCAGCGAGGGTGGAAGAGAGAGAAAAGAAGAGCAAGTCAGCTCCTCCATTGACATGTTGTCGTGCACGCGGCCCAGGTAGAACGATGGGCCAAACACGATGATCTTCTCTGTGGTGGACGAGAAGGCAGAAGCGGGTGGAAGAGGTCGCAAAGAGAGAAGAGAGGGCAGCTCAGCTCGTCCATTGACGTGTCGTCGTCGTGCACACGCCCCAGGTAGAACGACGGGGTGAACTCGGGACCGAACACTATGATTTTCTCTGGAAGAGGAAAGGGGGGAGGGGAGTTAAGGAGGGAGTTGGAGAGGATACAGTACAGACTCAGTTGCTCGATACACATGCGTAAGCCTGTGCAAACGATTACGAATACGAATACGAATATTTGAGGAGTCTATTCTCCGAATACTCGGTGGTTTCTTATTTGTCCGAATAGTTACCCAAAACTGAATACGATTACGATTCGAATAGTGCCGAATCCGAATCGATTACGAATAATTGTCAAGTATTTAATATTTAAAGGTTGGCAACAGTAATCAAATACCTTAATATTTCTCACATTCAAACACCCGTAGGGCTACTCCCACACAATTGTATTATTCCGGTGTCTACTGAACTTCTAAACATGGAATTGTGTGTATGCATGGTAAAGTGTTACTGCCAACATTGCATGTTGGGTGTAGGGGAGTATCTCTAAGATGAGTATAAGATGTATTCCTATATACTGTAGTCAATTTTTTTCTAGGGTAGGACGGATACATGGGCAAATGGCTCTACTATTTAATATGCATTGTGAAACAGCAAATTTCGAGCAACTTTCTGCAACACTAAATATTGCCCCCATATCATTGTATCATTGGTCCCTGCATAAATAATATTATTGGAATAGTGTTAGGTATCGATGTTAGAATAACGAATAGTATCGAATACCCCGAATATTTCTCTTCCGAATATTCTGCATCAACGAATACTATGAAGGCGAATATTTTCGAATACATGGTCGTTTTGTATTCGTACGAATTCCTGGTATTCTAGCGAATGTCGAATAGTTTACGAATACCAAGTATTCTTGCACAGGCTTGCACATGCGTGCCAGCCATCATGGGTCGATACACATGCGTGCCATCATGGGTCGATACACATGCGTGCCATCATGGGTCGATACACATGCGTGCCGTCATGGGTCAAGGCCCATATCCCTTTTTCAACCACTATACTTCTCACTCACACGCCATACTCCTTATTCAGCCGCCAAACTCCTTCCTTTTCCATCTGCTCTGCCATAATCCTTTTTGACCCGCCATGCTCCCTTTCCACCCGCCATGCTCCCTTTCCCTTTCCACCCACCGTGCTCCCCTCTCCCTCCACACTCTCTCTCCCACCCACCACACTCCCCCTCTCTCACTGGCCCCCCCTTCCCCCCTCTCTCACCGTCCACATTTCCCCCCTCTCTCATCCACCCACCACCTCCGCCCCTCTCACCAGCCATGCTACGATCGTCGGGGACAGGGATGGTGGACGCGTTGATGGCCAGACACACCTTCACACGGTTCAGTGGCCTGTGGGTTGAGAGTTGAGGGAGAGATTGGGAGCGAGAGAGCATGAGAGCGGGTGGGTGGTGGGGCGAGACCATGAATGCCAGTAGTGGAGGCGTTGAGGCGTGGGGGCAGAGCAGGGGAGCAGGAGAGCAGCATATCTACGGCCTGCACCGCACTGCACCGCTCACCCGTGCCAAGAAGGTCGGAGAGACCCACGAGAGCAGACCCTGGCCTCCCTACCAGAGCACCCATATCTATCACCCGCACCGCACCGCACCGCACCGCACTCTCACTCACCCATAGCCAAGGGGGTCATTAAGTTCGGAGAGGCCGAGCCCTTCAAGGGCGGACTTGGTGGCGGGCGCGTTGGTGGCGGAGGCAAAATCGCCCCTCAGCTCTCTCAGCTCGCGCACCTTGCGCACCAACTGGTGTGGGGAGCGGGGAGGGGGAGGGGGGAGGGGGGAGAGGGTGGGAAGGGTTGGAGGGGAGAGCATGAACGCAATGAGTGGCGGGCGCGTTGGTGGTGGCTGACGCGAAGTCGCCCCTCAGCTCCCTCAGCTCGCGCACCTTGTGTACCAGGTGGGGAGGGAGGAGGGGATGCATGGACAGTTGAGTTGACAGGAATGGCACAAACACAGAGCCTTGCATGGATTGAAACACATACCTTATCTATGTCGTGAGCGGTAAATCACAGACTCAAATCATTGATGCATCCTGACGGTCCATGACTCACCACGTCCTCGTTAACTCACCACGTCCTCGTTGACTCACCACGTCCTCGTTGACTCACCACGTCCTCGTTGACTCACCACGTCCTCGTTGACTCACCACGTCCTCGTTGACTCACCACGTCCTCGTTGACTCACCACGTCCTCGTTGACTCACCACGTCCTCGTTGACTCACCACGTCCTCGTTGACTCACCACGTCCTCGTTGACTCACCACGTCCTCGTTGACTCACCACGTCCTCGTTGACTCACCACGTCCTCGTTGACTCACCACGTCCTCGTTGACCATGCTCCACTCCGACGCATCCTCATCGTCCATCATAAAACCATCCGCGTTATAAATCGAAATGCGCCGCGACGGCAAGCTGCGCAGAAACTTCCCTCCCTGCACAAGAGATGGAGGGCGAGGAGAGAGATACGCGATGGAGATAGTCTCATTACCTCCAATAAGCCTCTGACGGTGACAGTTCCACAAACTAAGAAGGGACCCACGTAATGACACCTCTCCGTCACGGAATTGCAGCACAGTCACGGCTGGATTACGGACCGTATTAGGGCGTATCCCTGGGCGGTGGCAGAGTCACTGTAGCTGGCACTGTTGGTAGCATGCGGGTTTCCCGCATGTCATCAACATTTGTCCCGAGTCGCGCGCGATTCGCAGTTGGTGGCAACCGAAACATATTGGGCGACAAACGCACCCGAATTGAAGCCACCAATCACAGCACAGCCACTACACCTCTCACGCATAGGCGGTTACACCCCCAGTTGATTTGAGGAACCAACACCAACACTGGGTCGTGTTACCCGGTCCACAATTGCGACACTTTCGCGCAACCAATCACTCGCCTCGCCAGGCGCCTGCGCTCGAGTTCTCTGACACCAACCCCGCGGTATACAGGTTCGTGGCATGCATATTTCCCGCCTGCCATCTACAGTGGCCCTGCCACCACCCAGGGATACGCCCTTAGCTTCTCACACATCTTCGTCGCAATTCCCCTAAGGTCACCTTGGTGGGAGCCTCTTTGGGTTTCTCTTCGTCGTCGGACGACCCCGCGCCGCCCTCCGCGTCCGAGTCTTCGGCCTCCGACTCATCGTCATCGTCATCATCCTCTTCATCTTCCTCCTCCTCCCCCCCATCCCCGTCCTGCGCTCCGCCCCGCCGCCCAATCCCTGTGCGCGCGCGGACAGCCGTCTGTGCGCGCGCAATGCGCTTCTCCACGCCGCCCTTCGCCTTGGCGAAAACTTTCACGAGGTTCTTCGCCGCCTGCTGCGGCTGAGCGATTTTCGACGCCAGCGCGCCCGTCGCAGCTCGTCGCATGGAGCTCGTCGCATCCGAAGCTTCCGTGGACCTTCCGCTTCCCACTGTCGCGGACCGCTTCGACCGGCCTTCGCCGGCGGAAAGGGACTGCGTGGCTCCGCGAGCGGCGGCAGCGGCGGCTGCGGCGGCGGCGGAAGCGGTGGAAGTGACTTTATGCGTGAGCGACGTGGTGCGGCCTCCTAAGCGCTCGGGCTCCTCGTCGTCCATGGCGGCGCGAGGCACTCACAGAAAGACCTAAGCTTTGGGAATAGTGTCAGGAAACGAAACAAAACGCTAGCAGCAGGTGCTCGAGAAAGAGCTAAGAATAAAGGTCAAGCAAACCTACGCTCGGAGCCTAGTGACATTTGCAAAGTCGCTCTCGCAGAGGCTGTTTATGGATAACGCGACCTGATTTGCTGCCAACAATCGACGAGAGAATGGCGGACATCAAAATGTGGGAGCTAGCAGCTAGCATGTCAGAATAGACTTGAGCCCACCACCACACCACACAGACAAGAAATTCGTTCGCTACAGTCACCTCCTCGTGGTTCCGCTTGAACACCGATTTTCCCGAGGCTTTATACACCATGGGTTCGCGTAATTGACAACCTTGGGATTTGGTTCAACACTTTGCGGCCTCGAATTTGCGGTTTTTACAGACGTTCAGAAATGGAATTATTCCACTCTCTGGCGAAACCTTGAAATTGCTTGCCATCTGATGAACGCATCCCTCGGATGCGGACTGCAGCACACCAGCGTTTCACAGCACTGAACTGCACTCGTGGGCTTCTGCCAAGTACTGTCTCTGATTGTTGTGAGCCCATCTGCAGGAGTCGTTCATTTCACTGATTCCGGACCGGAGAAGTTTTGCAGGCTGCTTGTAACCGTGGCTTTCTCATTGCGAAGCATTAGCGAGTCCTACTTCTCATGCGGCACATTCATTCCGTAGGCCGTCATTAGTGTCCCATGTTCGCAATCCCATTCTCGGAGCATCAGTCTTTTATGTTCGCATTCACATCTTAAGAGCGTGTCCTGCGTCGTAACTGCGCGCATCGTCTCTCGGCATGTCGTCGCTCGTGCGCGTCGTGTCGCGAGGCGGCAAGCCTTCGGAGAAGCGCTACTCGCTTCTAGACAGGCTCGCCGGGCGAGATAAGGCGAGCCGCTTTGCCCGTAGCGGCTCGTCCGCCACGTCTCGCGGAGCCGCATCGCAGAGCGTGTCTAGCCAGCAGGCGAGTAAGTTAGCTCGCGACGTGAAGGCGGACGATGACGACGACGACGATTCGGACGACGATGAGATTCTGAGCATCTCGTCCGACGAGGACGATGAACGCGGCCCGAGCGTCCCGGCGATGACGCCGCGCACGCCGGCGAAGGTGCAATCTCAGGCCCCCTTTCTTTACGCGACTACATAGGCTTCCTAGGCTCTCAGTCTCCTTAATTTTGCAGATCACATGCCATTCTTAAGTTATCATTCTTGGAACCCTTCGAAAAAAAAAAACTCTTACTGGAATGCACCTCATGGCGTACGACCAATGAACGGAATCCACGTGTGCAGTGGGAATCGTCGCGCGCTTTAACGCGGATGGGGACACGACGGTACGGAGCCTTGGAGTTGGGCGACGGGGGTGAGCCCGCGGCGTGGGACCAAGTCGGTGAGGACGCGGTGAGTGCCTGCCAGTGTGCTCCAGGCTCTCTGCATTCAGCTACCTCCCTAAGCGCTGCGAGGCGGGAACTCGTGACTGGGCGGGCCAAGGGATGCTGGACGCAGATAGGGCGAGTGCAGGGCTCTTCTAGTGCGAGGGCATGCGGTTCGTGCAGTGGTGCTGGAAAAGGTGTGGAATGGGGTTCCCGTGACTGGTTTGTGGGGTCACTGGGGTTGTGCGGCTGTGTAGCTCTGAGTGAGCGTGTGAAAGCAACACTTAACTGGGTTTTCTGTTCTTAATATGACGTCTTGTTCACATCTAAAGAGCGAGCTCCTTCCCTCCTCTCTTCCTATTCCTCTCCCACTCACTCACTCACTCACTCACTCACTCGCTTACGTACACGCACCTTGGCGGGGGCAGCTGATGAGGAAGGTGCGGGAGCTGCGAGCAGCGCTGGGCGGGCGGGCGAATGTGCGGTCGCAGGCAGTGACGCAGGGCAGCACGGACGAGCCCCTGGGGTCCACCATCATGGACCCGCTCGGCCTGGGGTGAGTGCTCTGTCTCTGTCTCTGTCCCAAGTCAAGACTCAACATCGTGTGCTGCCCTGTCATGCACGTTCAAGCTTCACCATGCAAGTTCGAGAGGCCCCATGCAGGCAGTGACGCAGGGCAACACGGACGAGCCCCTGGGGTCCACCATCATGGACCCGCTTGGCCTGGGGTGAGTGCTATGTCTCTGTCTCTGTCATGCACTTTCAAGCACCACCTTCCGTTTTTATCCCCTGGAGAGGTTGCAAGAATGTGGTCGCTCGCAGGCAGTCCAGTCCAGTGGATCGTAATTCGCCCGTCATTGCGAGATATTGGCTGACTGACCTGACTGACTACACTTCGTATACCATCCCTCCTTGCATCCTTCCCGCGTGCTGCCTCCCTGCCCATTCATGCGCATCCTCACCCCAGCTGCTGCTGCCTTGCCTTTTCCCCCATCCTGCCTGCTCGGAACTGAATTCCTCCCCTCTCTGCCTCTCTGCTCCACTACCTCCTATCGTTCATCTCCCAACGAATGTGCGTCCCTCTCTGACCGCACGTGTGTGTGCCATGAGCCCTACGCAGCCCGCTAGACGTGGAGCACATGTGTCTGCAGAGCCGCTACGACAAGGGCAAGCCTGCGCCCGACCGCGCCCTCCAGCCAGGTCAGGGACTTTCCTTGCTGCGTCCATTCATGCTGGTGTGGGGCTGATCAGGCGAGTGTTGTGTCCCTAGGTAGAGAGTGTTGGCAGGCCTCTCCATTCATGTTTGCTGCTGCTCACATGCCGTGGGTTTGTGTGTGTGTGTGTGTGTGTGTGTGTGTGTGTGTGTGTGTGTGTGTGTGTGTGTGTGTGTGTGTGTGTGTGTGTGTGTGTGTGTGTGTGCATGTGCTTACACGTGTGGACATGGCACATTGTGTGCGAACAAGCCCTGGTCGTTTGTGTATGGCATCCTTTGCTTACCCTTGCATGCAGAGATGCTGGTGAATCTGGACGAGGCGTTTGAGCCGATGCTGTACCTGACGGTGGACTGGTGGTGCATGGCGGCAGCGAGCAGTGTTCGACTCCCATCTGCGCTGCATGCCATCCCACCCCTTGTCTCTTGATGCGTGCAGAGATGCTGGTGAATCTGGACGAGGCGTTTGAGCCGATGCTGTACCTGACGGTGGTGCATGGGGGCAGCAGTGCGCGTGAGCTGGAGGAGGGGCGGGAGAAGCTGGGCGAGACGATGCAGCGCGAGAAGGAGCAGCTCAAGCGCCTCGTGCAGAACAACTTTGACTGCTTCATCTCCTGCAAAACCACCATCAATGGTGCGTGCACGTGGGTGCTTCATCTCCTGCAAAACCACCATAAATGGTGCGCACTTTAGGGGTTTCGCAAAACAGGTTGAGCAGGTTTCACAGCAGGAAAAAAGGCTGAGCAACAGTGGCAGGGAGGGAAGGCCTGACCTGTGGGGCTCTTTCATTAAACGTGGATTACCTACCTTGGTTCTTCGAGGAAACTCATTTCAGAGGTCAGGCATGTCTATGGTTCCTCCATCGTAAATGCTTTCCCTCCATCTCTCCTCATTTTTCGCTCCATGTGCACATCATGCTCATGCAGAGACCAAGTGTGGGCTGACATAAAAAAAGAGGGGCTGCTACACTCTCACTCACCCCTCTTTGCTCCCTCCCCCCGCCCCCACGCCCACCACCCTCGTCCTCCCTGCATCTGATTCTGGATCATGCGTGCTGTGCTGCAGACATCGAGCGAGGGCTCGCATCAATGAAGAGGGACTGTGCGCTGGACACACTAGCAGCTGCCATCTTCAACGTGGACCATCACTCCAAGACAGCCTTCGGCCCGCTGCTCGAACGCAGAGTGCGTCTGCCTTGCGGATGAGCGCTTGCCTGCTGCTGCTTCTGTGGTGCTGTGTTGCTCGTGCTGCTTCCATTGGCCTCGTGCCACTGCCTTTCTGCTCGTTTGTTGCTTGTCCCAGTTTGGCCATCGCGCTTTTCATGCTTACTTCCCACACTTCCTCGTTCACTCTCTCCCCTTCATGCAACTACCATCCCCACACACGCCCTCCCATCCCCCTAAGCCAGGCGCAAGTGCAGCGCATCCAGTCAGTGCAGGGGCTGCTGCTGCTAAGCTTGCTCCTATCCTCCCCATTTTCCCATCCCTGTTTCTCACGTCACCCCTTCTCTGCCGCCCACCTGCCCACGCCAGGCGCAAGTGCAGCGCATCCAGTCGGTGCAGGGGCTGCTGCTGCGGTTCCGCACGCTCTTCAATATGCCATCCGCCATCCGTGCTCACCTGCGCAAGCACGAGTATGACAGTGCCGTGCACGAATACCTCAAGGCCAAGTCCATCTCGCTCACCGGCCATGTGAGTCTTCTCACATGAGTTCACGTTCCACATGTGTACATTGTCCCTTCACTGTTTTTTTGTAATCACACATCCTATCTTCTCCTTATTTCCTTTCTGTGCCTCTCCCACCAAACTCTCTATTCCCCTCTCCCCCTGTTTCCTGGTGCCACCAGTCGAACATCCTACGGAGGGTGAACGAGGAGGTGGAGAAGGTGGTGGACGAGTTCAGCCGCATCCTGTATGCACAGATGAGCGACCCCAACGCCGCCCCCGCCACTGTGAGTTCACTGCTGTTTCAAATCGGCAGTAGCAGGCGGTGAAACGCCTTGGTCAAATCGACCCGTGTGGCAGTACGTCAGCATCCGGGCACGTTGAATGCTTGCCTTAGTCAATTCTGCATTCAACCTCCGTGGGCAGGTAGAGAACGCCATCCGCCTGCTGCTGGAGATCGACCCTGACAGTGACCGGGTGTGGCCATGCAGGAGCATTGACTCCTGAATGAGTCCCTCCCTGCCCTCCCTGCCCTCCCTGCCCTCTCCCTCCCAGGTGGAGAACGCCATCCGCCTGCTGCTGGAGATCGACCCTGACAGCGACCCCGCGTGGCAGCATATGGGCATGCAGGAGCGTTGACTGATGAATGAATCCCTCCCTGCCCTCCCTGCCCTCCCTGCCCTCCCTCGCAGGTAGAGAACGCCATCCGGCTGTTGCTAGAAATCGACCCAGAAAGTGACCCGGTGTGGCTGTACGTGGGCATGCGGGAGCGGCGCATCCGAGGGCTGCTGGAGGCGTGCGTGCAGCAGCATGAGCGCCGCGTGCAGGGCATTCGCCGCCGCCGCCAGGAGAAGCGCGAGGAGGAGCACCAGTGGCGCCTGCTGCAGCGCAACCCCCATGAAAAGGTGTGTGGGTGGGAGGGGCGAGGGAAAAGGGTTGGTCTTAGCAGCTTTTCCTGAAAGGGGAGGTGTAGAAGCAGGAGGGGGCGACAGGCGTATTCACCTTCTCCATTCCCTCTTGTTGGTCTCCCCCTACTCCTCCCCTTATGCCCCTCTCTAAACCCCTCAGCTGGAGCCAGGGCTGGCGGCATTCCTGAACGGGGAGGTGGAGGAGCAGGGGGAGGCGGAGGACGTGTTGGATGCGGAGGAGGAGGAGGAGGTGCAGCAGCAGCACGCGCTGCTGGTGTGCCGCCTGGCCGCCGTGCTGCAGCAGCAGCTGCCGCAGCTGTGGAAGGTCATGCTGGGCATCTTCACCGGCAAGTTCGCCAACTTCTCCAAGGAGACTCCGGTGGGTGGGAGCGTGGGTGGGTGGGTGCGAGTGTGCGTGGGTGGGTGCGAATGGAGGGTTGTTTGGCGCCTCACAACACAACAGGTCATGCTGGGCAAGTTCACCGGCAAGTTCACCGGCAAGTTCACCGGCAAGTTTGCCAACTTCTCCAAGGATGTGCCGGTGCGTGTGTTGCTTGGCTGGCTGTGCGTGTGTTGCTTGGCTGGCTGTGCGTGGGTGGGTGGGGTGGATGGTGGGTTAATGGTTTAGTGGGTGGGTAGGCAGGTGGGCGGGCGGGTGGGTGGGCAGGTGAGTGGGTGTGTGTGTGGGTGGGTGTGTGGGTGGGTGTGTGTGGGGGAAGATGGGTGGCTGGCTGGGAGAATGAACGACAGCAGGTCAGCGAGAGCAAAGATGCTCTTTCCAAACGGCTTGTACCGCGCCCTCTCATTCCACTCCCCTTCTCTCCCCACGCCTTCCCCCTTTTCCCTTCCACCTCCTCCCTCCGCCCCCACCAGGCAGCAGCAGCGTACCCCTATGCAGGAGCATACGGAGCCAAGCCCCCACTACCGCGCTCCAACTCGGGCCTCTCGAACCAAGGCGGGGGAGGGTCATACCGCAAGCACACGCAGATGGAGGGGGTGGCGATGGTGATGGGCATCGTGGGCGTGTTTGAGGGCCACGTCACAGACGCCTTCACTGCGCTCGAGAGCACCCGCGAGCTGCGCCCCTACATGCTGCAGGCCGTCACTGCCGTCGCCCAGGCATCCTCCGCCTTTGCTGCAACTGAAGCGGCTCCTCCCCTAGCAGGTGCGAGGCCTCTCAGTCAGGCAGGTGAGTGTGAGGCTCAGAGCGGGCGAGCAGCCAGGAGCTGCGCCCCTACATGCTCCGGGCTGTCTCCCTGTCGCCCAGACCTCCTCCACCTTTGCTGCGGCCGAGGCGGCTCTTCCCCTGGCAGGTGTGCAGGCGGGGCCTTTGAGAAGGGTGGGTGACTGTTAAGGCCAACAGCTGGAAGAGCAGCAGGGAGCTGCCATGGTGCCTGCGGCAGGGCATCTCTTCCCCCCATTGCCCCCCCCGTGTCCACCCTCCCTCGCACAACCCCGACCTCATCCCGCCTCCTCCTCCCCTTCCACCTTCCCCCACCCCATCACGGCCCACTCGCAAGGCATCTACCACATCTCCTCTGACTGCCTGCCCCACTGCTCCCTCTGCCTCGCCCCCTCCCCTCCCCTCCCCTCCTTCCCTTGCAGTGCAAGCGCTGCACCAGTACCGCATCACCATCACGGCCCGCTTCGTGCGGCAGCTGTGCTTCATCATGCGCGGGGCGGCGGGGGATGTGGCGAGGCAGGAGGACTGGGTGCCGGCACCTGCTCACCTCACCAAGGGCTCTGAGTTTGACATCTCGCACTTCCCTGTGCGCTTTGGTGACACCGTGGGAGCTGCCTTGGACCAGATCACACAGTGAGTGGCTTTTGAGGTGTCTCAAAGGGCAGGAGGACTGGGTGCCGTGCCGGCGCCCGCACACCTCACCAAGGGCTCTGAGTTTGACATCTCGCACTTCCCCGTGCGCTTTGGAGATACTGTGGGGGCTGCATTGGACCAGATCACACAGTGAGTGGGGGACAGGGGGCAAGGCGCTGCACTCACGGTAAGGGGTCAGGCGTGGGAAGCCCGTTGACTGGAAGGCTTGTTCTGCCATCTCGCACCTTCCTCCCCTGTGTGCTTTTGGGCGATGGTGGGGGCGGCCCAGACTACAGGATTGCAGGTGTGGCTGTCACATCACATGCTTGGATTGCAGGGGGTGGCTGCCACATCACATGCTTGGATTGCACTATCTGCCCTTGCATTCTGGGCTGAGGCGGCGCACCCTCACTGCATCGCCCTTCAATGCACACCGCACCGGATCGCAATTTCGTTCTCCACTACTCTCTTTTTTCCGCTCTCCACTCCCATGGCCCAGCATCAACGCAGGACGTGTGTCGGACCCGTTGTCAAAGGACGGCCCCAGCATCCCAATGGCGACTGGTTCAGTGGCAGCAGCACAGGCGGTAGCACATCTCGTTTCCCGTGTGCAGCACTCTCCATGTCCCTTCCTCTGCATCCCTGGCGCAGCTGTCAAAGGACGGCCCCAGCATCCCGGTGGCAGGCGGGTCAGATGCAGCAGCAGTGCAGGCAGCAACAGAACTGGTATTTAACTCCAACACTCTCCTTCCTCCCTCTGATTCCGCCCCTGCACGAACACAGGGCCCTGGCGCAGTTGTCAAAGGACGGCCCCAGCATCCCAGTGGCAAGTGGGTCGGACGCAGCAGCAGCGCAGGCGGTGGCAGCGGCAGAGGTGTGGCGGATGTATGCGTCGGTCAAGACCACCTTCTACGAGTCGTTTGTCGATGCATGCGGTGCGTCTAGCTGGCATTCAATTGTGCTTTCCTCTCATGAGCTTTGCATCGCCTCAGAAGAGAGCGGAGGTGTGGCGGATGTATGCGTCGGTCAAGACCACCTTCTATGAGTCGTTTGTTGATGCATGCGGTGTGTCGAGTCGTGGCTCATCTGAAATCACCAGTGGTGAGCGTTGAATTGGCTCACAAGACAGCAGGAATGTGGCGGATGTATGCAGGGGTGAACACCACCTGCATGGGTGACGGCCACCTTGTACCACTTGTTTGCCCATGCCATGCGTGTGGTGACGACTCACAGTCGACTCACAGTGACACGGTCAACTTCGCTCCTCAAACACCTCCTTCTCATCTCTGCTGGATTCCCCTTCGCCCCCCTCTCCGCCTCTTATCCCACCACTAGAGGCGTTGGGGCAGATGGCCAAGCAGCTGCCACACCAGACGGATCCGCTCCTCAGAGTATCATTGTCCCCCACTCACCCTCACTCACTCTCCCCCCTCCCCCTCCCCTATCCCTTCCCCGTCCCCTGTTTCCCCCATCTCCCCGCCCCCAACCAGAGGCGCTGGGGCAGATGGCCAAGCAGCTGCCAGATGGATCTGCACCTCCCGAGGGGGAGGAGGGGGCGGAGGGCGAGGAGGAGGGGGGGGAGGGGGCGGGCGGGGCGCCGCAGTTTGAGGGGCTACAGCAGGGCGTGGAGGTGGGCAACCCCCATCAGCGCATCCTCATGCTCCTCAGCAACGCTGGTTTCTGCCGATCTGTGGTCGCTCGTGACCTCGCCCAGCGCTACCAGCACCTCTGGAACGACCCCAGGTGCTGAGTGGTGGAGTGCAGTGGGGCGGAGTGGGGTGGGGTGGGGTGAGTGGGGTGGAGAGAGGTGAAGGGGGGAGGGGTGAGTTCGTGGACTGGGGCTGGAGGAGACCGGGAATTAGGGTTTTTAGCTTAGCACCTCCAACCATGTTGTAACGTTTGCTTCAAGGAGAGCTGCTCGCACCTCCTTCCCACTTGTGTCTGCTTCCTCCCCCCTCCCTTCAATCCCCCCGCTTCAATCCCATGGCTTCCCCCCTTCCACTTGCCCACTTCCCCTTCCAACACTCTGTTTCCCCCCTCCCTTCCCCTCCTCCCCCCCCGCTATCAGTGCATCAGCCCCAGCGGCCTCCTGTCCGGGCTACAACCCACCAGCGCTGAGCGAGGTGGAGCAGCTGCTGGCAGACGGGGAGCGCGTGTTGGTGGAGGCAGAGACAGCCGTGGGCAATGAGTAGAGGAGGTCATCACGCCACCGTCTTTCCACCCTCTCCCCCGCCACCATATTTCCACCCTCTCCCCCCCCCCCCCCCCGCTGCTTCCATTGCGCTTCAGTGCCTCGGCCCCAGCGGCCTCCCGCCCAGGCTACACCCCACCAGCGCTGAGCGAGGTGGAGCAGCTGCTGGCGGATGTGGAGCGCGTGTTCGTAGAAGGGAAGATACATTCCCCTCCTTCTACCCTCCCCCCTCCCCCTTTTCCCCACACTCTCTTCCCTTGCTCGTCAGTGCCGCGCCCCCAGCAGCCTCTCGTCCAGGCTACACCCCACCAGCGCTGAGCGAGGTGGAGCAGCTGCTGGCGGATGTGGAGCGCGTGTTTGTGGAGGCAGAGACAGCTGTGGGCGACCAGTACATCGCAGCCAAGGCACAGCACCTCGGCATGGCTGTCATTCGCTACTTTCTTGAAGACGGCACCTCCTGGGCTGCTGCTCCCCCCGTCAAGGTGAGCTGCTGCTGCTGCTGCGTCCACCCCACAAGGTGAGCTGCTGGTCTTCCCCCCATCAAGGAGGGCGACCAGTACATAGCGGCCAAGGCGCAGCATCTCGGCATGGCAGTCATTCGTTACTTCCTAGAGGATGGCACCTCCTGGGCTGCTGCTCCCCCCGTCAAGGTGAGCTGCTGCTTCTCCCGCACAAGGTGAGCTGCTAGGTGGGCCTCCAGTACATCGCAGCCAAGGCGCAGCACCTGGGCATGGCCGTTATTCCCTACTTCCTTGAAGACGGCACCGCTGGGCCACTGCTCCACCCGTCAAGGTGAGCTGCTGCTGCCCTCCCCTTTCAAGGAGACAGCCATGGGCGACCAGTACATAGCAGCCAAGGCGCAGCACCTGGGCATGGCCGTTATTCCCTACTTCCTTGAGGATGGCACTGCCTGGGCTGCTGCACCGCCTGTCAAGGTGAGGAGCCCTGGCCTTTGAGTGCCTGCATGTGCTGTGGCCATGGCTTGCGTGTGCATGTGCGTGTGCATGTGCATGTGCATGTGCATGTGCATGTGCATGTGCGAGGGGGGTACAGGTTAGGGAGAAAAGCCTTTCATCTATGGCGATGATGTCATCATGCCATCCATGTATCCGTCCATTCCATTGTTGGCGCCATGTGTGCAGGGTCTGCGGGATTCAGCTTTGGACCTCATCTTGCCACTCGTGGCCGTGCATGCTGAGGTCAGCCTACCCACAGCCCTGTGCTGCCACCCATCAATCCTTTGCTACCTCCTCCTCCCTCCCACCTCTCCATGCCACACGCCATGCCCTGCACATTCCTCCCCCCCCCCCCCTGCCCTGTTCATTCCACCCTTTCCCCCTGCCCTAACCCCCTCGCCCTCGTTGTCATGCAAATCCTATGTGCACGTCTTCCCTGCCTTCCACGGAACGCTTTTTACTGCCCAAGGAGCCCCGCCTAAGCCGTGGAGCATGAGTGAACAAGCTGCACCGCCGTTCTGGACCGCACTGTTCCACCAGCACATTTCTCAGAGCCTCATTACTGCCCTCTCTTCCCTCTCCACTTGCTCCGTCACCCCTCGCACCTGTGTGCCCGTGCGTGCAGGTATCGGCGGGGTGCAGTCCGTTCGTGGACCGGGCAATCAACACGCTAGCGGAGGGCCTAATGGACGCGCTGCACCAGGTGGCCTTTCAGCACGCCGACCTCGAACAGCTCGACGCCAACGCCTTCTGCCAGCTCTCCCTTGAGGTCCGTCTCTGCCTTTGCCGCTGCCTCAGCCTCTGCCTCTGCCGCTGCCTGCCAGGTATCAGCGGGGTGCAGCCCATTTGTGAACCGAGCCATCAACATGCTAGTAGAGGAAGTAATGGATGCGCTGCACTGGGTGGCCTTCCAGCAAGCCGACCTGCAGCGCCTTGATGCCAACGCCTTCGGCCAGCTCTTCTTCGAGGTCCGTGCTGCTCCTCCGGTTCCATGCTGCTTTTCACGCCACCACTCATCTCTGCACTCCCCTCATCCCTGCGTGCCTACGCGCACCCACCGCCCTGCCATTCACCATTTACCATGCCTAGTGCACCCACCACCCTGCCATTCACCATTTACCATGCCTAGTGCACCCACCGCCCTGCCATTCACCATTTACCATGCCTAGTGCACCCACCGCCCTGCCATTCACCATTTACCATGCCTAGTGCACCCACCGCCCTGCCATTCACCATTTACCATGCCTAGTGCACCCACCGCCCTGCCATTCACCATTTACCATGCCTAGTGCACCCACCGCCCTGCCATTCACCATTTACCATGCCTAGTGCACCCACCGCCCTGCCATTCACCATTTACCATGCCTAGTGCACCCACCGCCCTGCCATTCACCATTTACCATGCCTAGTGCACCCACCGCCCTGCCATTCACCATTTACCATGCCTAGTGCACCCACCGCCCTGCCATTCACCATCTACCATGCCTAGTGCATCCTCGGGTGCCACCTCTCCATCCCACTTGTATCTCCTCCCCTCATCACCCGCGTCCTCCCCTTCAGCTGGACTACTTTCCAGGCAGTGCTACATCCAGACAGAATCATCTTTACCTTTTCTTCTCCAGTTCTCCGTCCCCACTTACTCCTCTTCACTCTCCCCCTTTCTCCCTCCCCATCCATCTTCCTCACCCCTATCCTCCCTGTTCAGCTGGACTATTTCCAAGCGGTGCTACAGCCGTTCGCATCCCCCTCACTGGACGACATAATATTCCAGCTGCGCGACATGCTGCTGCACCGCACCATGCAATCCATTGCTGCCGCCGGCCCGCCGCCCGACGACCGCCCCAGCTACGAGCGCCAGCTGTCGCGGGGCGGCGGGATGCGGTCAGGGGAGTGGGGCGAGGAGAGGGACATTCCCACGCCACAGACACCAGAGCAACTCAAGGTAAGTTCCTTCCCGTAATGGTAGGTCTTTGAAACCATGTTAATTTTGTTGCCAGAAAATATCAGTGGATCGTGATTGTTCAGCTCAAGCTTTGCGCTCCATTCTTTACTTGCTGTGCCGCCATCAGGGCATAGCGGACAGCCTGTCAGCGGATCTGCTGCCAGGGGAGCTGAGGCGCACGCGCGTGAACGTCTTCTGCTTCGGCCTGCGCCTGCCCGACGACCCCTTGCTCTCCTCCTCCTCAGGCGCGTACGACAATGTCTCCACCATCCACGGCGCGCAGTCCACCATCTCGTCCTCCTCGGGCTCCAGTGCCACGCGCGCCTACTCCGCCATTCTCCCCGTGCCTGATGCTTCTGCTGGCCTTGCTGCCCGGGCTAGAGCTGCTGGTGCCGCGTCTTCTGCTGCTGCTGCGGCTGCTGTTGGGGAGGGGTACAGGCCGGGAGCAGCGGCTGCTGGTGGTGCTGCTGGTGGGGTGGGGGCGGGGGTTGGGGGGACGCCGAGGACAGCTGGGCTGAGAGGGTCGTATGAAGGAGCTGGGTATGGGGGAGGAGGGGGAGGGAGAGGGGCGTATGGAGCAGCAGCAGGAGGAGGTGCAGGCGGAGGGGGAGCAGGGATGCATGGGGGGATGGCAGGGGGACAGCAGGGGCATATGTGGGGGGAGGTGGGGGAGCGGGTGGGGCACATGGGGGGCAGGAGGGGCAGGCGCAGCGCCGTACGGGGGTGCAGCAGTGCCTGGGTCTGCTGCTAGGGCTCTGGACAGGAGAGGGCAGCAGGGGGCACGAGGTTATGGTGGTGGGTACTGAGACTGCCTGAGGGGCACAACAAACTGTTCCTTAATTGTTCATCCTACCTATGGTATCTGTATGGTGATCTGCCCTGCAATCGGAATCTAATGCCAGTGTCTAAAGATTTTGTGGCACGTTCTTACAAACCATATAATGGCGTTTCGTGAATCCACGTGTTTATGTTGAGCACTTCCAAATATTAATTTCTCCTCATGGTTCCTTCCCTTATCCTCCTATGTTGCCCTCAGCTTAGCCTGGAATGGTTCAGATTTCGAGAATATGGAGTGGCACATCGGACGAATCCTAATACGAAGAAAGCGCACGCAATAGTGGGCACAAGCAAAGTGTCACTTTCGATAGGTCGGCTGTCAGAGCACGATGAAAATAGCGGGAAATTCAATGTGCAAGGTCTTCAGCGCTCGCGCCGTTTGCCTGGCCTTCCGTTGCTCCGCTCGGCGTGCGCAGCCTCTGTGGCCCCTGGTGTGTTGATTGGTCAGGAGTCCCCGCGGGGCAGAGTAATTTCCCACATGTACCGCCGCTGCCCTTGGAGTTGGTCGGTCGGTTGGTTCTTCTGCTGGCCTTTCGCGGCTCGCTGCAAATCCCGAGGAGCAGGGCTCGCAAATTCCGATGCCCCAGCTGCTGCCGCGACAACCCCCCAAGAAACCTTGGGCGTGGAGTATTACCTTTCACTCTTGTCATGTGAGAATGACTGGTAGGCAAAACCAGGGGCGTGAATATTCGCTGCCTGGCAGCAGCATTTCATTACATATCATCCACACCGTCTCTCACTCCAAAACTGTGATGGCATGTTATATCTGACTCCCCCTCCCCCCCTCGCACTGCACCATCTGCTCCATGTTGCATCTCCGCGGTTCGTGCTGCTCCCCAGTGATCAAGCACCGAGTAATCGAGTTCACGCTCTAGGCGAGAACGGATGGGAGGGGGCAAAATAGGAAGCCAACTATAGAACAGAATTTGTAGGTTAGAGCATCGAGTTAACTTGCCTGAATCGGGTTAGCGTCCTAGTTCTGTCTGTTTTCTCATGGATCCTCACTCATGTTAAACGTTCTCTCTCTCTCTCTCTC